TATATATATATATATATATATATATATATATATATATATATATATATGTATGTATATATACATATATACATATATATTAGCAGGAATCCCATGGGACAGGGATCGGGGTCCCCGCGGGCAAGGAGTGCTCTCCTCGTCACCACCGACGGGGATGAAAATTTCCCCATCTCCATCCTTACGGGAGGAAATCATCCACATCCTTGCCCCATTCGAGGCAAATCCCCATGAGGGTTAGGGAAATGGGGAAAATTGTCATCCCTATGTTTGTATTGTAAAAAAATTATTAAAAGTAGTATATAAAATATAAATGATTATTAATTATTATACATAACGATTGTATACTCTTACATGTTTCTATTACACATTCAAGAAACACAATGATGAAAAGCTTTCCTGTTGAGAGAATTTCTAGATTGGGCATGTTCACGGCAGTTCACCAATTCACGGGCATGCATTTATTTTTATTCAAAATAAATCAATGGGCAATTACTAATTTGCCCATTCTCACGGTAACATGTCCTACCCAGAAGCTCTCACAACAAAAAAAGGTTATTGACCCCAGCCAAAGTTTTTCCTTACCAAATATCAAAAAGGTGAAAAACATGTGACGGGATCTGCTCCTCACAAATGGGCGCCTCACAGCCATCGAGCATTTTTCCAATGCATGATAGGATGTGCGTATGAGACGCCTGTGAGGCGCCAGGGATAAGGAGCAGATCCGGTCTCGAAAAACATTGTTTATGCTTATTTAACTGGAAGAAACAAAAACATTACCAAACAGATTAACAAAAACATTACCATCTTGGCGTGGGTCGGAATTGGAAACATCTACGCCCCACAACGTCTCACACGCATCCCTGCCGTGCATTGAAAACATCTCTAATGAGAATACCAGTTGCGGAGATGTTTCCAATACATGGCGGAGATGTGATGTGGGACACTGTAGAGCGCAGATATGAACTCGTGCACATGTTAATCTGTTGCAAAGAATCCTGCTGCCACGTAGCCGAACCACAACTTCTTCTTCTGAAACATGTAAGGGCAAAACGTTAATTCTCTTCCGGGGCTTGTTTTCGGTTAGGTTATTTGAGTCTTCCTCCAGACTACAGTCTGACGCTCTCGTTTCGTCCATTATTCTCCCCGAACTGCATAGTCCGAAGAAGTAGAGGTCTTGTAAAGTCTGGAGGGGCAGAATCTCAACCTGTAAGCATCATTTTTGTTCTACCTTCTTCTTCTTCTTCTTCCTCTTTTGCTCATTTAATCTTCCTCTTTAATTAAAAACTCTGAAACCGCATTCCTTGTTCCTTGGGTTGAGTTGGGTTTCGAAGAACATTATGCTGTTGCATGAAGTTTTAGTTTGTTTTCCTCGTTCTCCATTAAAAGCTGTTTTTGTTCTTTCTTGTTTTGCTTTGTGAAACATGTCTGATGAAATGGACGAAATTAGGGTTTCTGAACTTGGAAGTCCCGTCGTGACCGCTGACATTGATGCGGAGGAGAACGAAAACCACAGCATTTCAGAAATATTTTCCTTCTTGAAATCGGTTTACAGGACGGCGGGTTTAGATGAAGCACGATATAAAAGCTATGGAGGTCGAGAAAAAGAGAAATTCAGAGGAGTTTAAAGAGAACGGTTCTGGGAGACCCGAGGGTGAATTAGAAAAAGAGTTGAAATTCTATCGAACAAGGTCTAGTGAGTTGGAAGAAAAGAATAGGGAGGCTGAAGATCGTTGTAGGGTTTTATTAATGGAAGTTGAGCATAAAAGGAAAGACCACGAAACTCTAAAAGACAAGTTTAGTGAGTTAGAGCTTAGAAAACTTGATGTTGAAGATAGGCTAAGGGAGCACATGAGATCTTATGACGACATCAAGGAGCGGCTTACTCGTCTGGAAGAGGATTACAAAGTAAGTTGTGAAAGAGAGAAAAGTGCAAGAGAAAGAAATATTAATTTATCGGAGGAGCTGAAGAAGATGGAGCAAGATACAAAGGAGAAACATCTTCAACTCAAGATGGAGAATATGGCCTTAGAGTCTGCTAAAAGGAGGGCTGAGAATGAGATTGAGATTTGGAAGAAGAATTTTAGAGAAGTGGAGTTGCGAGTCTCAAGGTTGGAGGAAGTGGATTCGTCTTTGAGATCTGAGGAGGCAGGAGCTGACTATGACAAAGAGGATTTAAGTAATGTAATCAAAATACAAGATGAAGAAAATGCTGGAATCAGTAATTCTCACTTGGTCAATCCGCAAACCCAAGAGAGAGAGCTAAATGATGATGGAACGATTAAATCTTTTGGCAATGAAGGGTCTATTTGCTTTTCCCCAGTTGAAGAAAATGAACATGTTCAGGTCCGAGGTATTGACAAATTCATTCAGTTTCAGTCAGATTTTTATTCTTTATCACATTTATGCTTTAATCTGTGTTGTTTTTTCCTGTACATTATATAGTCTGTAGGAGTTTATCTTAGTTTTCATGAAGAGACTTTTTTGTTCTCTTATACAAAAGATAACTTTTTGTTCTTGAGGCTCAGTTTGGAAGGAGTACAAATACAAATATGTAAAGTACAAATACATACAAAGTAATATAAAATGTATGGTTTTGTACTCTACAAATTTGTATTTGTACTCCTTCCAAACTGAGCCTGAGGATTCACATTATATGTTAATGTTACTCTGACTTTCAGTAGAAAGTAATTCACATGCATTGTCATACATGTAGGCCATGAAAGAAAATAGTAGTACAGCTTTCATTGTACCTTTCACTTTTTTTTTGGACAGCTACAGGTTCACCTTCTATTAATATGCGACTTAAGTCTTTGGTTAATGATCAGGAAGAGAAAAAAAGCATTTCTTTAGAAACTGAGGTGCAATATGGAACTCGAGTTAGAAAGCAGTTAGTGTTTGAGAGAGAAGAGAACAACAAAAAGACGCCTCCATCCATGCTTAGTAATGTCATACCCAGACTCATACCTGCATCTGGGGATGTCATTGAGATCAGTGAAAGTGATGATGAAATGGGGGCTGCTACTTTGCCTACTTCTAACATCAGAAACAGCAGAGTGACTGCTACTTCTGTTGACTGTTCTCTACGTATTCTGAACAATGAAAGGGAGAAGAAGTGCTTGATGAAGGAAACCTCAGATAAGAGAACGGGGGAAAATGAGAGCAGTAGTGAGGAGAATTTCCCATTCACTTTAGCACCCAAAAGAAAACGGGCTTCCAATATAGTTACCAGTGAGAGTGAGGGTGATGATGATGATGAAGATAAGATTCCCATTGCTAAACTTAAGATGATGAAACACCAAGAGTTAGGCTGTGAACCCTTAGATTCTCCTACTTCTGGGGTTGTCAATCCTGAAGAATCCCTAACCCCACTGAGGCGGCGTATAGTTACTTTGAGACAGTGCGAAGAAAAAAAGGGTGGGGTAGAAAGAACCTCTCTGAATAAGTTGGCAAATTGTGGTCCTAAATATCAGAATCAAATATTTGTAACTGCTGACAATGTTGAGGAGGATGAAATGGAAACTGGATCAGATAATGAGAGTGAAAGTTTGTCTGGATTTATTGTTAATAGCTCTGATGATTCAGAAAGAAAAAATGATTCTAGTGATTCAGAAGATTCAACAGATGGTGAAGCCTTTTATCAGATATTATCAAGAATCCGAAGGAACAAAAATAATAAATCAGGATGGGAATATGAGGCTGATATGCTTTCATCATTTGAAAAGGATTCTGAACTGTGTTTGAAGGCTGTTTGTGCTCTTTATCGCCAACAAACATCTGAGGAAAAGTCAGCGAAGGGTTCTCTGTATTACAATAACCGAGGGTTTAATAAGTTTGATGCTCTCAGGTATGCATTAGGAAAGTTTCTTTTATGATTATTCTATATTGACAAAAATGAGCTTTTCATAACTATAATTGAAACTCTCTACCTTGATTATAATGAAGTCTCATCTCATTTATATTTTGTATGGATACCTTGTATGGATATGTCTGCATCTTTTCCTTCTCTAGTGTGACTCAGTAATTTGTTTACTGAGCTTATTAACAATAAATATTGTTAAAGTTGTAACAATATGTGCTGTAACCAGTGTTACATGGACCAAGTGTTCATGTCAAACACTGACACTCTACGGATTCTTAAGGAGAAATTTCTTTATATGGTTTTCTCTTTCCTCTCACTTATTTGGCACAAATGGACATCTAATGTACATTATGAATTCCATCTTTTCTTATAGAATGTTTGCTGCAGGCATGAAAGCAGGGAAGGAATCATCATCATCTATGCCTTGTGTTGTCTGCATCAGTCCTGTTTTGTTCAGTGACATGTCCCTTGTTAAATTATGAGCCCTTAAATTATTTCTTACTACAACACATGTCCTTTTTGGTTTGCTGCTAGCGATTTTAGCTAGGGGTGTTCAAATTCAGATATTTAATTGAAAACCAAGCTGAATAAGTTAGTTTGTTTCGCGTTCAATTTTTTTCAAAATGTTGGTTTTTGGTTTCAGTTTGGTTTGACTGAAATTTTCAGCCGAGCCAAACCATAAATCAAACTAATATAATATACATATTAGTATATTAAATATATAATATTTTATTTAATATTTGCATCTTAAAATGTGTCCTCTGTTATGCTCCATTGCCTTTCACCTCTATTCTGTTTAACAAGGATCATGAACTAAAACCAAAGACAACTATAGTTATGCAGGCTGTGTTTGGTTTATATCAAATTTCAACATCTCATTTATGGGACCAATTGAACTGCAACAAACTAAACTGAACTGAACTCCATTTGGTTCAGTTTTGAAATCTAGTTCAATTTAGTTTGGTTATGATATTAGTTAAACCAAAAAGTCAGTTAAGTCCTTGATTCTAACCAAACCAAACTGACTGAATGTACGCCCTTACTTTTTAGCCCCTTCAACTTGTAACATATCACTTCTCTTTGGTAAAAAACATATAATTTCTCTTACGGGTGCAAGCAGGGAAGGAATCCATGGAGAAAATCAAATTTCACTTGATTCCTTGTTGAGTGGTAGTTTCATAATTTATGGATGTTTTTAATTTTGGTTAATTTCAGTTTTTTAATAGTTATTTTCTAGTTTGTTATGTCAAGATGTATTGGACATCAGGACATGCAATTGGGGATGTTGGAGTCACTGCCATCTACACTGTCTCCATTTACAAAAGACTTTGCCTGCATGTTAGCATGTTTGATCCCGTGCCTCCTAAATGGAGGGGGTGTCATCAGTGATTTAAAAGGCACACCTAGGTTCATAGGCGAAGCGCATTTCAAGGTCTGCTCCTCACCTAGTCCCAGGTGCAGTCCCTTTGAAAAGGTGCACACCTTTTGTGCCTAGGTGTGCACTTGGTGCACCTTATGCCTCAACTGAGGCATGTGCCTCAATCAAATTTTGTGCTTTTTGAGTCATGGTGGCTGGGCTGGGGGCTTCGCCCCCTCGGACCCCCAACACAAGTCCCTTGAGGCAAGCCCAAACAAATCTATGTTAGTGTCTTAAATTCTTAAAGCTGTACGAAAAATGGTTTTATAATTTTAATTATAGTTCATTATCTTTTAAAATATTCCGTGTATTAAGAAGAATAAATGAACAACATTAGAAAAAAAGGGCTTGTTTTTTGTACAGTAAGAATTTAAGACCTAGCATTAGACTTGTTTGGGTTTGCTCAAGGGGCTTGGTATAAAGGTGGCTCATAGAATTAGGAATGAAAGATGTTTAACATCATATTAGCTATTTGAAATAATGTGATTGAAAAATAAATTAAGAAATTGACAATTTGACATTCTTGGATATGTTCTATATGTTATGTTCATGTATTTTAATTTGTGCTAATGGGCTTTTTAAACTGTTTAGTTTAAAATTAAAGTTTGCATTTTTAGTTAGAACTATTTTTAATATTTTATTGATTTTTTTTTTTGTATTTTTTAATTGTGTTCCTTGCTTCAAAAAAATAAAAAAAGAGGCACATGCCTTGCCTTGTGCCTCTGGTGCAAAAACAAGCCCTTTGGGCTTTAAGACACTGGGTACTATGCAACCATCTCAACTACTGGTCATCAGCATACAAAAGATTTGGAGGTTAATTAATTGGATTTGTCAGTAGGAGGTTACACTCCAGCATAGAAATATAGAACATGTCCAGTTATTGATCTTTATAGATGCATTGAGTAGAGGTTGTGTAAAAGTTGTGGAGGATAAGGTGACAGAGAGTGGGGGATGATTAAGTAGCAATTGATCAAGCATTTAAGATATACAAGAAAGTGGTTGATAAAGAAGTAGAGGTGGGAAAGAATTAGGGTTGTTTTTCTGAGGTGGTGAAACATACCTGGAAAGTGTTTTGGAATTAGAAGTGGAGACAATGGGAAGTCCTAAATTGACATCTACAAAGCCCAATTGTCCATCTAGTAGGTCAGGGTGTTTTCATTTTAGGGTGGATGGGAAAAAAGATGGAATTTATTGAAGTATTTAGATGTCTCAAAGGTGTAATGGTCATGGTTTAAAGTATCGATACACCCAAATGTATCGGCATGGGTATATCGATACTTTTTACCCCACAGTTTTTATTTTTGTTTTTTTTTTCAAAATTTCATTTTTATACATATTTTTACATTCTTAATCAATAGAAGGATTGGTTTCCTGAAAACACCTTTAAATAAGTGTATCGGAAACCCAATGATACGATAAGATACATGCGATACTTTGGACCTTGGTAATGATAGGGATATACTGAATTGGTAAAGAACTAAGAGGGCTGAAAAGGATTGTAGGTTGGGGGTTTATTTTGCATTTGTAAAGAACTAAGAGTGGGCTGCCATTTTGTGGGATGATTTATGTCTTTTGTTTGAGAGTGGGTGGAAGTCTTCTGAAGGATGATGTTATTGGTTGTTAGGGTGGTTGTTGGTAGGGGTTTTGTTTGTATTTTGAGGTTGTGGGTCTTGTTGAGAGGAGTAGGTGTTGCTAAGGATGTGTTTGAATGCGGTGTAAATACCCGACTGGAGGAGTTCTGCATTCATTGGTTTAAAAAAGTGGTGATTATTGATGTAAAGATTTACATCGTTTTTATGAGAGATAAATTTCCCTCAATAACCGATGTAAAACTCGACCTGGTATTTACATTGATTTTTGGCGGTCATTTACGTTTCATCCAAACTGCTACAAAAACGGACTGCAGTGTAAAATAACACCGGTCTGGTATTTACACCGCAAAAAAAATGCAGCCTAAGGTGTTAGAGCAAGGGCCAAGGATTTATTTTAGTTGGGTGTGCCGCTTGATTCCTTGTCACCTAAGATTGTATCTTTCATCTTTTGTTCAGTTTTCTTTTTATGAAATTTTTATGTACCATCAGAAGCTCACAGTCTGATTGCAACATGCTACATTTTTTCTTTTTATATTTTGCCAAAATACAAAGCGCACAAGAACATGGAATATGTACAACCGTGGTTATTGGCATGTGGTATGCCTACTTTGATTAGATAATTTTGTGTATATGTAGTCTGTACCACTTTCCAAGATTTGGGAGCTTGCTGTCTCTCACGCCTCGTGTTCTTATCAGAATAAGATACCTGTGAACATGTCCTATATCATTGATGTTCTGTTACTTACAAAATTTTAAAACTGTGAGCCATTTTTACTTGGCTTAATTGTTTTGAAATTTTTCTTTTCTATTTTGGTTATAAAAGAGAATAAAATGTACTGAATTTCACTAAAGCAGTGAGCAACTGTTCTGGTGTAGTAAGTCCAGCACCTTTTCCTGCATTACTTAATGAAGTTGATAGTTTTCTTCCAAGTTGTTTCATTTATGTATTACACTTGCACCTTTTGGTTCATAGAGGGACCCGCAATCTAGCAACTTTTCCCAAGTCTCTTGAGATAAGTCCCATCATAACCAGATCAACCTCTATCTGCAGCCCAACCTATGGTACAAAATTACAAATAGGAGATTAGAAGTTTAATCCTCCCATTTCTCATTCAGGGCTTTTATAATAGTCTGGATCTGCTAGCAACAAACAATGCTAGGTACGTAACAGTTTTGTGCAACCTGTCAACAGTTGTGCTCAATTGCATTTTCTCTTGTGTTGAGGTCCTCGAGGAGAGGTGGCATAAAACTATGATGTGCCTAGTATTCCGCTACTGTTAGATCTGGAGTCCAATGTATATGTAAATTCAGTGGTTATTGAATGTAGCTTTGTTTTATCCGTTTATGTACGTTTCCATCCTTGAACATTTCTTTCTAGGGGCACCACATTGGCTGAATTTCTTACAGATGGGGACCCACGTGGAGATCTGAAGAAGTCCGTTGAGGAATTGGAGAGGTTTGATCCTAGAGCACTCGAAGAATGCAAAAGACTGGCTGCTAAATACTCCAAACAGTTATTCAACATTTACCAGAACAAGGAGGACCCTTTATTTCTCCCTTCCTAATAGGACTGGTTGTGAATCCTGATCAGATAGGGCAGAGTTTAGACATTCTGGTTTTCCTTAAAGTAAATAGAGTAGGATAGAGTGTTTGTAGTGTGCTTCAGTTCTTTGTTAATGTTATACAGGAGTTCAGAGAGAGGCTTGTTTTATTTGCTAATACGATCACTGCTATTAACAGCAATGGCATCCACCATTGTGGTAGCTCTTTATCCTCTTGTAGAATCATATAACCGATGGATAGGTCCGTTTGATCATACCGGAGGGCTTCTTGTTCTTTGCGTCAAGCTAAAATCCCACCACAATAAAGTTGGAAATGAAAATCCCCTAGCCCATGAAGGTATGCCGCTGGATCCAGAATTGATGGGAGACAGATTCCATGTTCGCCCCTTTCTTGGTTTATTTCCTGATCCAGGAATTTTATATTTGGTGGCATAGTCTGTGGTTGTAGATCACTGATTTTTTAATTTTTTATTCTTTTTAGGTTCAACTATGATACCGGGAAGGCGTGATATTGAAAATTCCTGTGATCAATCAACCGGTATTATAAAGACATGGTTCAAGGTATCGATACGTATCGGTTGATATGTATTATTCCGGGACCCCTCCAATATGCCTCTATAGTGGGTGTATCAGGGGTCTGACCGGTTCAGGGGTTAGAGGAGTCTTAAATCGGTCTCCATGAATCGGTTTAAAAAAAAAATAAAAAAAAGTAAAAAGAAAAACAGTATTGATTCGCCCAATATGCCCCCATCGGTGTATTGGGCGTATCAATATTTTGAACCTTACATAAAGGTGAACCAATCAGGTGGTATTTGATTGATCATAGGTTCTTTTTTTTTCTTCTTTTTTTTATAAAGGAATATACTTCATGAGGGTTTTACAAGTCGGGGGTAGTTCGTCCCCATAAATCACTCGGACAGATAAGGCTAAAAGATCCAACTAGAATTAATGGAAGGAGGATCCTTGTGTCCAACATTACCCAGCCAATGTGCCGCCACATTTGCTACAGGTAAGGCGTACGAATAATGCATATTCACCTCAAGACTTGTGCAAATATCATGGCACATTCCAATAATTGTTTCATTCCCCATAAGATTATTCATGACCAGCTCCGAATCATTGTTGCACTTTTAAACCTTCAGGCCGGTTGATGACCTTCTAATTCGAGTAGAGTGGCATAAAAAGAGAGAATCAATGTAAAACTCTATTGTTAGTTTGCATTTGTACGCATTTGTTTTCGGTGTAAATATGAATTGGTGTAAAATTCTGCATTCAGTCCGTATTTTTACACGTTTGTTTTCAATACAAGGTTTACAGTCCACTAAAATTTTAAACTTATCAATTGAATTTTACATCGATGCATTTTCCACCGAAAACAAATGCCAGCCATAATAATTTTATAAAACCTCTTGTTGGTGTGGGTGGCTTTGATTGCAGATGAGAAGTGGAGGGATCTCAATGTGGAATTCAGTTTGGCCAATTTCTAGTCCCTCAGCATGGACCACCTTGCCAAGTTTTGAAACAAACCCAGAAGCATATAAGACAAAAGGGGTGTGTAATTTAACTCTGAAGATGATCACATTCCAAAACCACATCCACCAGAAGGTGGGTTGTAGCTTCCACAGCTTCCATGAGATGGGGTTGGTGTACTTCCTGTAGAGCCGCCACTTGAACCGTGTGATGTGATAGTGTTCCTTGAGAAGAGGTCCTGTGAGAAGCTGCATCCCAATGTGGAAAGCAACATTAGGGGGTGTAGGACCTCATATTATCCATTACAAGTGCGACCAGAAGAGTGGAAGCAACTTGGGTTTGTATATAAAGAAGGTTTTGAGTCTTATGACTTCTACTCAACCACATTTGATAGCTGATGCATAACGATGCCAAGCAAGAAGCAGAAGGAAAAACTAGAAAAAGCAATTCTGCAACGCAGGCGGGCTATGCAGTACCTATATGGGCTTGTTCGTTTTGTGTCATCCGGATAAGGTGTTTTTCTAGGCTTGGCCAAGGATTATTTAAGTGAATCATGAGAAACAACGTGAGTGGATTTTTGGCAGGTGGATAAATAATTTACCCACGCTTTAGGTTTTAGAAAAAAAATTATCATGGACCCCATTGTAGTGGCAGACGTACATGGGATTATTGCATTTTCATGAAAATCACATACTTATCCCCCATTTTTACGCAAAATGAACATGACCTATATGTCTTTTTGCATTACATAAACGTCACACATAACAAACACATACAAATGAGATCAAGGATTTAGAGATAAGAAATCTCCCATGGATTAATGTATGGGAAAATTTATAAAACCAAAACCAAGACGTTTAAGGGGGCTATTTAGTTTAGTTGGCATTTATTTAATAAATGTTTGTACAATATTTATTTTGAAAAACGAAAAAAATGATTGAAAAACATTTTTTGATATTTTTTAGCAACAAGCACCATTAAGTGCATTACATAAGCTGAATACTGAAAAAATACCTTAGTGTTGGGGGGAAATATTAAAGGACAGATTCTCCAACATATGACTCTCACACAAATCGAAACAATCAAATAGTATTTCAAATTCTATTGGAGGAAATGCCTATGTGGCACCAAGCTTGTACTGTTTTCTATATAAACGTCAACAGAACCAAAAATCATATAAACAACAAGATGGTGTTTGGTTCTATGATTGTTTATTTGAAAATTGACACCAATCCATCACCACTTAGGCAATTATTTCAAAATGCTATTTGATAAGATTGTTTATTAAATAAACATTTTCTCAATTTGTGTGAAAGGTAACCATTGGAAAAACAACATTTTTAATGTTTTCCCCAACACTTAGCCATTTATTTATTATTGAGCTTATGTGGCACCTAATGGTGTCTATATGTCAAAAACTCCCCTGAATTTTCCAACAATCATATACACCTCTCTTGAGTTTTGATCTTAACAAATACTGCCCCAATAATTTAGAAAATATGTACAAACACATCTCTTCTATAGGTTTTCAGGGGAAAAAAGTTAACACGATGCTTTGATTATTTTAAAATGCCATACTTACCCTTAACTTTGTCTTCTCTTTATTTTATTTTTCCACCCGGAACTTCATGCCAAAGGCAATAAAGAAAGACGATCTCAGGAAAAAAAATCTACCTCTAAGGTCTTCACTTTTAGTGGTGGACTGAAAACAACTTAATAGGTGATGACTGATGAGGTGGGTTTGGTTTAAGATAGAAGAAGGCGAATAGGGGAAGGGTTGGAGTCTCTGTCAAATTGCCCTTGTGACTCCTTTGTCCTCTTCTTAGAATTTCTCTCAATGGAAACTTTCTCGCCCAACTTTTTCTCTTATAAATTCATGTCAACCCATTCATACTTCCTCAGCTTTCTTAGCCTTTCTACCTACTCTCATGTTCTTCTCTCAAGACTCGTCAATTCACTATAACACTCTTAGATGTTGTACTTCAATTCTTTAAAGGCTTATCAGATCTGTTGGGTCTTACAACTTTTGCTTTATTGATCTTGAGGGGGCATTCTTTTTTCAGATTTTGAGAGGGGGAAAGATGGTCAATGGGATTTTGGTTCTCATTGACCAAGAAACACATATTCTTTTTTTTTTTTTCAGATTTATGTGGGGGCCAAGGAAGTTTATTTTCTTGGGTATCATTTACTCGGGTAAGTGATACCTATCTCATAGGTGGGTAAATAATTTTCCCACCTGGGGGGAAGGTTGTCAACACTTGAATGGGACAAAAATGCCCCTTTTAATAATGATTTTTTATGATTAAAATGGTCATTGTCTTATTTACCTTGGAAATAAAAGAACATGAATAAATGCACTTACCCGGGTAAATGCATTTACCCAAGTAAGTAACTTACCGAAAAGCGAACGGGACCTGAGTTTGCTCTTATTGGAAACTTTTTGGACATTAAGAGGGGGGGAGAAGGCGATGGGAGAAACCCTGAGAATGGGAATGCATGAATGTGTTAGTAAAGCCATGAAAATTCCATTTGCATTTGAAGAGAATATTTTGGCAATAGTTAGGGATGACAAGCCATCCTTCTTGGCAACACCCATTTCAAACTGATATCATTGCGTTCCAAGTTGCCAAACATGGCTTTTCAATGATTTTTAGGCTGTATATGGCATTCCTTATTTTAAGGGCTTATCTCTTTTTTGCAATTAAAATGCTCCTATGAATACTAAGTTTTTAACTGCAAAAAGAAAATAAGTCCTTAAAATAAGAAATGCCAAATACAGCCTTAAAAACCCGGCCTTTTTGCACTTTCTATGCTTCCGTACTTGGAATACATGTTACAAGGGTTGTTCCAATAAATTCTTCCACTTATAATAGATTGTTTTTAAGAATGTGTATATGTATTCTCCTCCCAAACTACAAGGATCCGAACTAGGAACAGCCTGATTACAGTGGTCATGGTGATTAAATTTGGACTGTATCGAAACGTCTTTATATGGAATAACAGTTCCATGGCATCACTTGACCTTCCAACATGTACACAACAAGAAATAATTGAACTACAATGGATCAATGGCCTTTCACACAAGTTAAGACATACAGAAAAGAGCAACATCTATGTCATCAAACTTGCTACACTTGCATATGAGTGCATTTGTCACCATAGGATCATAACACATCTCATTTTTAATTCCTTAGCTGTGGAAATGCAATCCCAACTCGAACATAAGAATGATTAGCGAATCTGTCTATGGCAATTGAATTTGCACTCTTGTCTAACTTCTGCATCTCTGTTAAACAAATCATTACTTCAGCAAAACTTAAAATGATTGTTGTTTCAAAAAGGAATCTTGTTGTCTATCGTCTACAGCTTTGCATAGGTGCAAGTTAGTGATGTAATAATAGATGCATTAGTGTCAAGTCTACTTTTAATGGCAAAAGGAATAGGTGGAATTCAGATGAGCATTTGTTGGTAGAAGACAAGATATTCTCCTTCAAAATAACTAGTTAGATCGTATATAACACTCATTGTATTCCATGAAATAGAAGAGAATCAATTAGGCCATACTGAGAAAGCCAAGTAACCGGGAAGAAAACTAGTAAGTTACCAATTACCAAGTGGAGAGCTAGCATAAACAGAGAGATCCAAGAGTAAAGCCAGTGAGCTTTGTTCTATTTTCTTATCACAAAAATGATGATACTTGGTTTGGAAAGCTTGTATTTCAAGTTTTGATTTGGTTTCTGTTTATATGTGTATGAACGATTTAACCTTGTTGGTGAGGTTATGG